ATGATGGTGAGGAAACACTTTCACTAAGTAGATTTTAAGTAGATAACAGTCGTGATATTTGCATTCTCAAAGTTGTTAGTGTAGCGTGTGTGGTTAACTGACACACTAACATGGACTTGTGAGAAATGGCAAAGGTCTAAACAATTGAGACTATGATTACGGCATCCCTTTTCATAGTTCTGAAATTGTTTAGACACACATGTGTGCTATCTAAGGAAAGGTGTATGATTTTGATAAAGTTTTATCAAAGCATCTCGTATCAGAAATTTGAACTTTGGTAAGAAAGTCAATACAGTATTGATTTCTAGAAGTCCAGTTGATTTCTGAGTACATGTCAAAGCTAGTGGGAGCATAAGTGTTCTGCTAATAATCATCATGTTAGTGGGAGCATGATAATTATTATAAGTGTTGCAAGTTAGCAATGTTAATTATAGAAAACAAAAGTTTCAATTCGTGGAGTTGCAGGGGTTGAAAAGTTGTTTTGCTATAATTAAGTGAGAGGAAATTATACTTCATTTCATTTCTAAAAGCTTAGATTGAGGTTTTAATCATCTTTAGTCAAGGATATATATGAATTTTGTGTTGGAATGGCTCAACATAAGGAAATTCTATATAGGGGTCTATTATTTGCGTTCTAAAATTCGATTATGATTACGGCATCCATTTTCATAATCTGAATTATGAGAACTTGGAAAATAGAAATATTGTAGCAAAAGGACTGGTCTAGTATCATGTCTTTATGTGAGACATCATGAATCGTGTCACATATGCTTCAGATATAGGATCGATTGCATGTGCTATAATATTCATCCTTTCTAAAATTTTCCAAATGTCTGGGGCATTAAGAAGGGAAAAGGTCTAGAATTGGATATGACTAAAAGGATTAAGCAATTGTCGAGGACAATCTAAGGTTTACCAAAGATTGGTTGCTCAAGGACAATTGGAAGTATGGTGTTAATTTTGGAAAGACCATATTGACATATTCTGAAAAGAGGCAACTCTTGTTCAGAAGTGATAGTCAAAATGGGAATATGGAGTTGTTCCCATAGGTGGAAGTTATTCATCAAATCTGTATAAGATTAGGAAACTTAATGCATGAAGGATGTTTCCAAGGAGTTGATCTCCTTTGGAATGATCTGTAATGTTTGTTGTCAAGTCTTTGTGACTTTATGCATAATCATTACAAGAGGATCAATGCATATAAGTTTAGAATCTAACAGATTTCGGAAAATGGGATGAATTTGGAATTCCTGCATTTGCAGTAAGGATTTGGGATTGTGAAATGAGAATCATTGGAATTATGTTCAATCGATCTGTTTCACAAAGTAAAGATCATAGAAAACTTAGTATGCATACTTGGTGTATGGCATAAATAATGTTTAGACAAACATAGTGTGCATACTTGGAGTATGGCATGACTAGTGTTTAGAAAACATAGTGTACATGCTTGGAGCATGGGACAACTATTGTTTTAATTCAAGTATAAAGTTGATAGTTTAAAACCGAAACAATGAATAATGAGTAATCAGTATGGTGATAAATAAAAAATGTTCTATTTATATTCATAGGTTTTTATACCATACTAGATTCAATTATTCTTGTGTTTCATTTTGCATGTTTTGACTTCCAGAATAACTAGGTCGTTCTTCCTGAATGACTAAGTTATTCAAACTATCCACAGTCGGTCATATGTTGGAAGTAGATATGAATCAAGACTGTCATGAAGCTGGATTGTAGAGGTCTAAGATGTTGGACAAAGTGGTGCTACAACACTCATGAGTGCTCATAAGTTCTGAGTATTGGATTCAATCCGCGCTCATTTGAATCACTTCATGGATTTTATCACGAGTGATCATGAGACGATAATATCTTATATTCTTCAAACCTAGAGATATGAGTTGTTACTATGAGTTGGTTGTACATTGATTGCGCGAAAATGCATTGGTAACTCGATGTTATAAAACGTGCATTTGTGTATGATTCAAGAAGTAGTAGAACAAGCCATATGAGTCGAAGTTTATCCATTCCTTTTACCTTCGGGATAAAAGCGATATCTGTGGGCCCCTCGATGATTTAGCGATGACACATGTGAGTGCTTGGCCAAGCCAAGACTGATTTGATTTGTTCAATCAGTCAATCATCATGAATCAGAAATCGGGAAACAACAAATGGATAGAGAGAATGATTTACAATCCATGTCTCAGTCCATATGATATCTAGAATTGAGGAATATATGATCCCTTATCTAATGGACAAGTCAGTGATGAGATCAGAGTTCAGTTACAATGTCAGAGTTCAACAGCGGCTTTTGAGAGCTACGATTGCCAGTTGGTTCTTGAAGTCATACTCAATAATAGTTTTGGACTTATCCAAGTGGGAGACTATTGGATTAGTGTCTAAGTCCATAACTATAATTGGTAAGACTTGACCCGACTCGGCATGGTCCACTTGGGTTGCATGGCATCGGGACATTTGGATAGACCTTTTGTGAGAAGAAGACATTTGTGATATATTAATATATTATAAGTTCTTATATATTAATATGAAATCATGTTATTTAATTAGTATTGATCAAGAATTAATTTGGACTTAATTTAGTGATCAAAAGAGACTAATTAAATATATGGGGATTGATTGTGTAAATCATTCATTCTTATATATGTGGGCTTATGATCCAAGATTCCTTATATTGGGTTTAACCCATGTGGTGACCCATGGATACTCCATGGAGGTTAAAACCCATGGAGCATAAGGAATGGGTAAAGTCATGGGTTACATGGAGTAACCCACTGTGCATACTAGGACCCTTTTAGCTCAAGAAATGGACACAAGTGATACATATGTGAGGGCTAGTCAATTTGAGCTTGGAGTGTCTTCTTCTCATGGTTATTACAAGTGTTCATGATGTTGTGTGAACCATTTGAGGTGTCACACTTGGGGCACTAGGCTCTCAAGCTTCATGGAGTCAAGTTACATCAACAAGGTATGTCTTCTAACTTGTTTTATTACCCAATTATCAAAGATTGTATGCTAGATAGGGTAATACCTTGGAATATTCATATTTGCATGTATAATAGAGAAAACATAGATCCAAGGTATTTAGGGTTGCATGTACACTTAGGATTGTTAGAATGCTCAAAACCCAACAGAAAAATGGTGTGAGAAGTGCAAAAAGAAACACTCTAGGAAATATGGCGAGGAGCTGACTTGTTTCAATTACGTGAAAACTGGTCATGACGCCAATGAATGTATATCCAACAAGAGGGTGTGTTACGGATGTAATGAAGAACGACATATTGCTAGGGACTGATCAAATAAGAAAGAGGCGACAAGGCCTAATGTGCCGCCAAGGCCAAAGGCAAGAGAATGAGATGTCGCTTCAGGCACCTTTCTTGTAAATGGATCTCCTGCCAATATATTGTTTAATTCTGGAGTTAATTACTCCTTTATATCGCATAAATTTGGTGGAAGACTATCACTTCCTGTAAATAAACTTGATAATGCTCTAGTTGTAGAAGTTGCTAGTGCAAAATTCATACCTGTTAGCGATTTCATTAAAAACATCGTCATCGACTTGAACGGGAATAAATTCCAACAGGAATTGTTACCCATTGAGTTGAACGGTTTCGAAATTGTACCAAGGATGGATTGGCTTTGTGCGAACGATGCTGAGATACTATGTAGAAAGAAGATGGTGATAGTAAACCCACCGGAAAGGAATCATTTATGGTGTACGGGGACAAACGTAGAGTGAATTCTGAAATCATTTCCCTGATGAAAGCTAGAAAGTGTTTGTCAAACGGATGTACATCATACTTAGCATTTGTGATCGATGCAAAGAAGGAGAAGAAAGATATGCAAATAATACCAGTGGTGTGTGACTATCCGGAAGTATTTCCCGAAGATCTTCCTGAATGTCCCCTGATAGACAAGTAGAGTTTCGAATAGACTTGTTGCCAAGATCAATGCGAATAGATAAAGCACCATACTGATTAGCATCGAGAGATAAAGCGCTTATGATGCAAATTCAGGAGTTCTTGGACAACACTTTCATTAGACCTAGTTCTTCACCCTGGGGAGCTCCGATGTTATTCGTGAAGAAAAAGGATGGGTGCATGAGGATGTGCATAAACTATAGCGAGCTAAACAAGGAAACAGTAAAGAACAAGTATCCATTGCCAAGGATTGGCAACTTGTTCGATCAGTTGCAAGGTTTGAGCTATTTATCAAAGATCGATCTTAGGTTAGGATATCATCAGCTGAAGGTGAGAGAGCAAGATATAAAGAAGACCGCATTCAGAACAAGATACGAACACTATGAGTTTTTAGTTCTGTCGTTCGGACTAACCAATGCTCCAGCAACATTTATGGATTTGAAAAACATGGTTTTTAAACAATTCCTCGATAAATCTGTAACAGTGTTCATAGATGACATTCTCATTTACTCAAAGAGCCAGCAGGATCATGGCAAGCACTTACGAGAAGTATTAGAAGTTTTGAAGAGGGGGAAGCTTTACGCAAAGTTCTCCAAATGTGATTTTTGGATCCAAGATTCACAGGTGATGACTCAAAGAAAATCAATTTATCCAATAACTCACTTGAAACACTGATGGTGATGCGGCCCCATCAACAACTTTTGATCAACCTGTGTCATCCTGTCGATGGCAAGAAAAGCGGATGTCACTCTTTTAGGAACAATCAACTTCTCATTCTCGTGTGAACTGAACAGGAGTTCCACTCCAAAAAAAGAGATGTTGCAACCTTAACCTAACCACTCTTGGAAGCAACTTCTCTTGCATCTTTATCCTTGTTAAGAATCAAAGAAAGGACATGAAAGAGGGATGATAGCAGGTTGTTCTTTCCACCATCAAAATTGGCACTACAAAGCTTTACCTATTCTAGAATGAATTATATAACATTGGACTTGTATCGACCTTCATCTTGAGAGCCTATCATTGCAAGTAGATCCTGAATCGGTAAGGCGATAGAATCCTTCATTTCTAGAAGCGTTTTGCAAGTAGACAACAGATCATCAACAGGGGGTCGTTGCATGGTTTCCTCTTAGATCTGTTGACTACTTTCATTTGTAGTAGCTTCTTTTTTGTTTGTTCCAAATGAACATGAGCCAACTCAAGTGCAGTAATTCCAAATGACCAAATGTCAGCCTTGAAATCATATCCACTTCTAGGATGCAAGACCTCTGGCGCCATCCAACAAGGAGTTCCTACAAAAGTATTTATGGAACGTTGTCTATCACCTCTATCAAACATACAGGATGAGACCCCAAAATCCCCAAGCTTTATCACTCCATTAGTGTCAAGAAGTATGTTTCCAGACATGGCATCATGGTGGATGTGACCATGGTGATGCAAGTAGACCAATGCCTTAAGAGTCTTCTTGAGGATAGAAGAAATAACAAACTCTTCAAATCCATCTGGATATGCTGTTTTCATCAGATGTAGACAAGAACCTTCAGCCATGAATTGCATAACCACTCAAAGGTTTTGGTTCACAACAAGTGAACAAAATGCCCTTATCACATTTGGGTAATCTATCAAACTCATTGTTTGGGCTTCCATTTGAATATCATCCAGATTTCTATTTATGCAATCGAGATCCAAGCTCTTAACGGAGATGACGTTATTGGTAGCGAGATAGATCGCTCTGTATACGGTGGCACTGGAACCGTAACCTAATTCTTCTAAAAGCTTGTAATCATTTGGATTAGTGGTGTATCTATTCTAACTACCTCCCATCCCTCCAATTAACAAAAACAAGAAATAGGAAACGGTGAGATGAGAAGGATTTTCTGGAACGGAATCGAGTGTGAGGACTAAATCTTCGACACCTCGGTTGGTGTCAAAGTCGGAAGTCAGAAGTCCAAGAAAAGCTGTGGCCAAGTTGGATTTGAATAGGATGCTCCAAATGTGGTCCGTCAATGATATGATCATATGAGCCAAGTAGGCGTGATGATAACCCAAGCTTGCGAGATGACATACCAAAGACGAGAAGGATTCTTACATGAAGAGAATGGATTGCGTGGGATTGAGGCGACGCATGTAGGGGATGGATGCATTGAGGAAGTGAATTGACCCATCAGATGTGCCAAAAAGATTGGATGAATAGAAGTTTAGAGGATGGCACACTAGGGTTTTCTGATGATCATCGGATTATCAGAAGAGGATGCCCACGAGAGTGTTGGTGCACAAACAGAGAAGATGTTCCAATGGGTTTTGCCAATGAGTTGAACACAAGACCATGAGATTGCTCCAAGATATTGTGAGGAAGTAGATGGTGAAAGAAGGAGACGATGGTTGCGTTAAAAAGAAATCATGCAAGAGTAGGAATTTGCGCCAAGGCTTGATTACGAGAAGGAAGATATGCCAAAGGTTTGATCCAAGATCTGATGCGCCAAAAAAAATATGGTGCGCCAATTGTTTCCAAGGAAGGAAGTTGCTTCAAGGACAACTCAAGAGTAGAAGTTGTGCCAACTAGGTTTGGAGATGAAAAAACGCCACTGAAGGAGTGTTCGATGCGCCAAACAAAAGGTAGAAGATGCTCCAAGACCTGATCTCGGTTTTTTTAGTGAGGCACAAGGTAGGATGGCGCAAGTAGGCTTGATGAGCCAAGGGTGATGTTCCAAAAAACATATTGTGCAAGATGGATTGAGAAGCTGTGCAAGATGGATTGGCACAATATGTAGTTATCGCTCCAAGGATTATCAAGTTGTTGAACCACATTATTTTCCAAGTTGTTCATCCACGAAGATATCCCAAGTCGTGATGCTCCAAGCAAGAACGTGATGTTCCAATAATGTTGTGCCAAACAAACAGAAAGAATACTGATGTTGCGCAAAAAAAATATGCCTTTTTTATGCTCCAACCATAAGGAGAGAGAAAAAAATTAAAAACTTGGTTCACTTATATGGTGTTGTCGGCTAGGAGAATTCTGATTGATGTTGCGCCAAAAACAAAAGTCGATGTCGGTTGTGGATCGGAATGGATGTGGTCGGAATTGAGTTGGCGCAAGTAGGATTGGAAGTTGCTCACGATGGGAGGCTTTTATAGATTACGGCTAGGGTTAGGAGGCTTGAGTGTGGAGCAAGATAAGGGTTTATGGTGCAAGATGGGATGGAGCAACATGATATGGCGCAAGAGGAACTATTGTGCAAGAAGAATCTTAAGGTGTCTAAGTTGCACCAAGAGGTGATGATCACATGGTTATAAGTTGCTCCAAAAATGCAATGGATGTGGCACCAAAGTGATTTTTGGTTCGATCATGCACCAAGTGAAGCTAAGTCATGAATTTTCGCCATAAGGTTAGTTCACGAGAGAGTAGTTCGCTAAAGCATGTGATGTTGCTCCAAATGTGATGTTACGATCGAAGGTATATGGGGAACAAAGTGTTATAGCACAAGTAGGGAACTTGACATAAGAAAAGTTTAATCGCACAAGAGAGGAATGTTGCTCCAAGAAGGAAGGTGCGCCAAGGGGTTGCAAGGTGGAAGTTAGATCGAGACCGAAGGACAGTTGTGCGAGAAAGGTATGGCACAAGAGGTAGGAAGTGTTGATGGCACAAGAAGGGTTATGCGAAGGGGAGATGCGCCAAGTAACCTATGAAGATAAGAGTGATGTGCCACGAAAGGAGTTGGTCCAAGAGTTTGTTGCACCAAGATCTTCTTGTGAAGGAGAAGTTGTTGCGCCAAGAGGAGTTGTGCACGAAGTGATGTTGCTCCAACAAAAATAAAAAAAATCTCGATTTTGTTCCAACAAGAGAAGCCTCGTTGTCGCTCCAAGCAACAAGTTGAACTGAAGTTGCTCCAAGTGAGTATGAGAGTAAGAAGTTGTGAGAGAGTAAGAAAGAAAGAATAAGATATAGAAGTGAGGTATTTATAGGTGAAGGTTGTTAGGGTTTCTTAACAGTCTGATGTAGGGCTTGCATGGGCCAGCTTGTGGGCTTAGAAGACTTGGATGACACTCAAGTATAAATAGGAGAATGTTAACTTGAGTCGCGAGCAAGAGAATGATGACTTTAGAACCAAGAAAGAAAAGGTGGCGCATGCATGGATGTTATCTTAAGAGACATGCATGGCACCAAAGGAACGTTCATGACCTACTCGAGACGTGCATGGCCTACTTGAAACATGCATGGCCTATTAAAAATGTGCATGACACATTTATTATGCTCTATGTGGACTTGATGATCAACATGGACGTGATGCACCAAGTGGCTGAAGATGCTCCAAGTGGATGAAGATGCTCCAAGATAGTCCAAGTGACTTCCAATTGATCCAAGGTAGTGGAGATTATCCAAGTGCATGTAGTTGCTCCAAGTTGGTGAAGATGATCCAAGTGTATGTAGTTGCTTCAAGTTGGATGAAGATGGTCCAAGAAGAATGAAGACGATCCAATATCCTTCAAGTTGGTGAAGTTTCTCCAAATTACTTCAAGTTGATCCAAGTTAATGAAGTTGCTCCAAGAGAAGCTAAGATGCTCCAAGTTGAATGCAGTTGTTCCAAATTTGGTCCATGTGCCTGAAGTTGTTCCATGTTGGTCCAAGTGCATGAAGTTGCTCCAATATGCTTCCAGGTTGTCCAAGATGGTTCACAAATGTCCTATAAAGCTTTTGATCTTTTCCTTATTCACTATATATGAGAATGCTCCATGAACCAAAACAAGCACATAGGGTTTTCTTAAAGAGGATGGTCCACTTGTCACATGATATTCCACTTATCTGAGGATGTTCCATGATCAAGTAAGTGATATTCTCTATCTAACTTAGCTGCTTTACCTAGATTCTAAGGCATGAGTTAAACAGAAAGTATGAAAGTGAAAACACTAAATATTCCAACTTTTATGGTGATGTGTGTGCATGTGGATAGAGAATCTGAGAAGGAAACAGTAAAATGTGGTGAAGTGTGTGCATGTGGAAGAAATAATCTTAAGGAAACAATAAAACATAGAAGGATGACTCATTTAGAAGCATTAGATTATCTTGCTATCACTTACAAATTTATCAAGCAACTAAATTTTGTGTATGATCCTTCACTTTGCATTCTAAAGAATTTCCTTTGTTGATTATTAATTTGAACTCATTGACATCACACAGAATAACCCAATATGTACTCACCAATTATGTCTTATCGCAATGCATATGTTTGTGTCTAAGACCTAACTACTTCCCAAACCCTAAATACTAACAATCCTCATAAACGTTCACCACTTATTTTGAACAACATTCATTTTTAGCATTCCTACCACCTATACCCTTTTATTTACATCTTTCATTTCAAAAAATATCGCCAAATTCCAAGTGACACGGCTTTAAAAGAAAAACACTATATATATATATATATATATATATATATATATATATATATAGATATAGATATATATATATATATATATATATATATATATATATTTATCTACATTTTTTTTATTTTTTTATTTATTTATTTATTTATTTATATATATATAACAATTGACCTAAGATTATAGCTACATTTATTTTATTTTATTTATTTATTTATTTATTTATTTTATTTATCTTTCCTCATAACTCTAACTTTAACAAAGTAAACAAGCAAATAATTTCTAGCTTTATTTCTATTTTTACATTAGTTCGTGACTTTTTAAGAAATTCATTGGAGTGCTCGGAATCGCTTAGGTCACTAATGGAGTCCATGACTTTCTATGAAACCTTTTTAAACGATATTTCTTCCCATCCAACCAAGCTTTTATAATTTGGTGGATAGATAAAAATATCCCCGGGGGGAATACTCATCGAATCCAAAAGGTCATAGATTGACTTCACTCCTGAACTATAAGTTATTGAATATATAAGTACCCTCAAAGTGCAGAAATGAAATAGATAAACTTGAAACTTGAATCGCTTTGTTTTAACGAATAAGCTTTTTATTAGGTATAGATATTCACAAAGCAAAACTTTTTATATCCCTCAAGCTTCACAAGTTCGCATTTTGTCTCATGAGTTCACTAGGACAAGGAAGCCACAAATATACAATAACACATTGGCTTAACTAAATGTTAGAGTTCGCCTCAAATTATCTCACATAACATTAGTACCTGATGTATGTTATAACTCTAAGTAGAGTATATCAATAAAGCTTATTAATGGTCATGAAAGAACCAATATTAGTTTTGTACTAAAGCAAACTGAAGAACCACAAAATTTGGTATTTTGTAAAATCGTTAAAGTGTGGAGCAACTATCGTTCTTCATTTGCATAGTTGTGATAACAACTTGCATTTTTCTAACAAAAGTCAAAATAAAATCGTTTTGGTATTTTTTTTTTTTGGTTTAAAGTAAGGACAAAAACAGAAAATAAAATATTTTTGTATTTTTCACTTTCGTAAATTAAAAAATGAATATAAAATCTTTTTGGTATTTTCTTTTGGAAAAAAATAAAGAAAAAATAAAAGATTTTTGGAGTTTTAAAAAAATGTTAAAAAAAAAAA